CAACCTAGACCTCCCCCACTGCAACTTGAGACCATTGCTCCTTGTTCTGCCATCTGTCACTACTGAGAACAGCCTTTCTCTGTCCTCTTTGGAACCCCCTTCAGGAAGTGGAAGGCTGCTCTCAAATCCCCCCTCACTCTTCTCTTCTGCAGACTAAACAAACCCAAGTCCCTCAGCCTCTCCTCATAGGTCATATGCTCCAGCCCCCTCATCATTTTGGTCGCCCTCCACTGGACCCTCTCCAATGTGTCCACATCCTTTCTATAGTGTGGGGCCCAGAATTGGACACAGTATTCCTGGTGTGGCCTCACCAGAGCCAAATAAAGGGGAATAATCACTTCTCTAGATCTGCTGGCAATGCTCTTCCTAACGCACCGTAATATGCCATTCGCCTTCTTGGCTACAAGGGCACACAGTTGACTCATATCCGGCTTCTCACCCACTGTAATCCCTAGGTCCTTTTCTGCAGAACTACTACTTAGCCTCCTGGAGCCTGCACCTTGCATGCAACTCCTGCCGCAGCCCAGAACCGCCTTCACCCCAACCTCCTTATCCCCACCCCCAGCCAGAGCCCTCAGAATTCCCTCCCACACCCAAACTCCCTCCCATAGCCACCCCCACACAACATGCCAGTGCCCTTCACTGGCTTGGCTGGAGCCCCCTACACCCCAAACCCTCATCCCTGGCCCTACCTCAGAGTCCACACCCCTAGCAACCCAACCCTGCCCCCAGCCTGGTGAAAGAGAGTGAGGGTGATGGAGAGCAAGTGAGGGGAGGGGGTATGGAGCAAGCGGGGTCAGGGACTCAGTGAAAAGTTGGGGGAGAGGTCCCCCAAAATTTTAAATCAAAATGGGGGCCCACAGGTTGCTGAGGTTGGAGAACCGCTGATACAGCAGATTCTGTTCCCATTGAAATTAAATGGGAGTTTTGCTATAGCCTTCGACAGGTGCAAGCTTGGGCCTTAATCAAACAGAGAGGATAAAAGGCCAACACATAAAATGAGACCGTGGTGTTCATGTAAAAGTATTACCACTTGTGACCCGCATGTTGGGGCCAGAGTCTGTCAGAAGTGGCTACATGCCACTGAAGTAAATGGATGTTCAGCCACTTTTCTGCAAACTTACTATGTCCTGTAGGGCCTGAGTCAAAGCCCCCTGAAGTAAATGAATGTCTTTGGATCAGGCCCTTGCTAGGAGGCTTTGGGTCTGTTTCTGATCTTTGCTGTTGCTCCTGATAAGCAGCAGCGCAGCATGGCACACAAATGGTCTGGGGGGCTCTGGGGATTAGAGCAGAATGAGTTCCCTGTTGCTCATTCAGATCCAGCGGAAGTTGGCAGCAAGCAAAAACTCCTATAATCTCCCGGGTATTCGGTGACCTACATGAAGCGAATCATTGAGTGGCAAGTATCCAACATACTTAGCGTGTGTCTAAACTACATGGCTCCATCGATGGAGCCATGTAGTTTAGACACACGCTAAGTATGTTGGATACTTGCCACTCAATGATTCGCTTCATGTAGGTCACCGAATACCCGGGAGATTATAGGAGTTTTTGCTTGCTGCCAACTTCCGCTGGATCTGAATGAGCAACAGGGAACTCATTCTGCTCTAATCCCCAGAGCCCCCCAGACCATTTGTGTGCCATGCTGCGCTGCTGCTTATCAGGAGCAACAGCAAAGATCAGAAACAGACCCAAAGCCTCCTAGCAAGGGCCTGATCCAAAGACATTCATTTACTTCAGGGGGCTTTGACTCAGGCCCTACAGGACATAGTAAGTTTGCAGAAAAGTGGCTGAACATCCATTTACTTCAGTGGCGGTCAAAGTAAGATACACAATTTGCATAGCTCCAATTGTGGATCTTATTTCCATCTTGTTTCGAAATAACTTATTACGTACATTTCA